GCGGATATTCTCCAAAATGGCGCTACGGTGATGCGGAGTGACACAGAGGAGACGAATTGCTGAATAAAGTCGTTATTTTTGTTTTCTTCACGTAGAAAAAGTATTCTCGTCGCTTCATAACGTTACGGTTGAACCCTGATGGCAGATGGACTTTCCATTCATCTGAGAATCCTGAAAAAATGTATTACATTTTCCACGGTTTAAGCTGCACAACTGTTTTGGACACACACAAAAAAAAGATACTTGAGCAGCAAATCAGCATGTGATTTCTGAAGGATCATGATACTGAAGACTGGAGTAATGGCTGCTGAAAATGCAGCTTTGCAATCACAGGAATACATTACATTTTAAATTATAACTAAAATAGAAAAGTTATTTTAAATTGTAATATTTCACAATAATACAATTTTTACTGTTTTTGGTCAAATAAATGCATCCTTGGTGAGCACAAGAGGCTCCTTTCAAAAACATTAAAAAACTTATGGACCGTAGTGTATTTATATAATGTAACATAATCTAGGTAAAACGTATAGAGATTAATTTGTATTTAAAAGAGTAATACTACAATATTTTCTTCACCACTAAAATATGAAACAAATAAATGTAACACATCTTTATGAAACTTTATTATATTCCTCAACATCCATTTCACACAAAATACATACACAATCCAAAGTTTGTATAGAATATTTTGCTCATACACAATCTGCCGATTGCACAAAAGACTAAAGTGTTTATATTTTTTTCATCTATGTGCCACCAACTCACCACCACTAACTTACATTTATACGTAACGTCAGTAAAATAAGCAGGACTATTTTCAAAGCTTTATTTACATACAAAGACTCAAAAAGAACATGATTACACGAAGGGTGTCTTTTTAGATAAGTCATGGATCTTATTTACTCTTTTTCAAGATTTAAATTCTTCAAATGCTATTTCACAGGCATCATATAATGGCATTTAATTCCATTCCATTATCACTTAATACATTTAATTCATTTACAAATGAATTCCGATGGGAGCTGAAAATGTACCATTTCAAGACTCTGGACAATTTTGCATGAATGACATTACTGACTATCAGGGAATAATAATAGCTTTTACAAAACAAAACATAAAATCATAAAATAAAATAGAAAACGTTCACTTATCAAAATACTGTACTTCAAATAGAGTATGAAACATTCACACCCTATCTAACAAAACCTATTTTTCTCTTTTAAATAGTTAAAGCTTTCAGATCAAACTAAGAACAAATACAACGCACATACATTTGTCCTGCACATAACACATGATCTTTTTTTTTAAATCCACAAATACACAAAGATACTGTCAGAAAACAAACAAAATAAAGTGGTTTCTTACTGCCTGTCACTGACTTACTATACAAAACAAGCAAACAGCATTTGAGTGCTCACAAAGCAATGCATCCATGCAAGTTACTTTTAACTTTGACCCTTGCAATGCACATTAATGTATGTAAACCATTAACATGAAGATTTGCATTTTTTTTCATGCATTTCTTGAACATGCAAAGAACTTGGGATAAAGGCATGAAATTTCTGCCATGTTACCATCAATTAATTTCAACTTCAACAGTCTTTATAACAATGAAGTGGACAGAACACACCTAACTAACGAAAGTAACAGTGAAACAGTTTTGAGTTTTCCACTCAAAAACAAAAACAAAAAAATCACACACACACAATCATCCTTAAAAGTGTACTTTTGTTCTATGTTTTGTTTAGATTTTGTCCACAATGCCATTTTTGTGAATGTGTTTGTGAGCAGGTTGGTTGTGTATCACTGATTCGTGTTCTGCTAATAAGAAGTAACAAGAACTTTAAACAATGCCCTCTATGAAGCTTGTGTCCAGATGTACTATGAGCATTCGCAAGAAAGACATCTCTTTGCGAGTGTTCTCAAATATGACACGGGGGTCGTCCGACTGGCACCGAAGGCAATTAGGAGCCATTACCATAGCAAGGTTGTTCACGTCCATTTTAGTTACTGCAACGTTTGCAGGCTGAGCAAAAACCTGAGGAAGACGTGGGATATGCATCAGAGCAGTGCAATAAGTCAAAAGACATTTTTTTGTACATTTGCTGCATATTGTGTGTGTTTGTTGAGTGTTGTGAATACCTGTAAGAAGTGGATGAAGTAGCACAGCACCAGTCGGTTGAGCTCAGGCAGCAACTGCACCACCCTGATGACTGCCGCAGGATCATCGTAGTTACTGACACACTGCTTGTAGAAGCTCATGGGAATGAGAGGCTCCTCCAGCTCACGGTACCACAGCTTCATCAGAGAGGCTAAGGAAAAGCAGTGGTATAGATGTTTAAGTATTTTTGGTATGATAATGAAATGCCAGCACATTTTTTCTTTGACTATGTAATATTCTTATAAATGCATGAGAACAGTTACTCACCAGGAACATTGGGTTCTGACAGATTTTCAGGAATCCTCCATTGGTCCACCTGAAGCTTCAGTGCATTGACTTCATCAATGTCACCAGGAACCCTGCAGGAGACGACTGTATTGTTACACTCAAGGACCACCAGAGGGAGACAGCACACCATAATTATGCATGCACAAGTGACTGAGTTAGAAAACAGTTTGCCCCAATGTCTTACAGAGTTTGGATAGCAAAAACAAGCAAGAGTGGCAAAGTATTGAACAGACATTTTTACCCCAAATTTCTAATAAAACTAGAACCTAATTTAGACACACTACCATTCAAAAGAAAAATAATGCATCATCACGGATTTTCACAAAAATATTAAGCAGCACAACTGATTTCAAAATTGATAATAGTGTTTCTTGAGCACCAAATCAGCATATTAGAATTACTATTTTTTATTAAATAATCTAATAGAACATATTAGATCTCTAAAGGATCATGTGACACTGAAGACTGGAGTAAAGGCAGCTGAAAATGTAGCTTTGTCATCATAATATATATATATATATATATATATATATATATATATATACATATACAGTGGTGTGAAAAAGTGTTCGCCCCCTTCCTGATTTCTTATTTTTTTGCATGTTTGTCACACTTTAATGTTTCAGATCATCAAACAAAT